ATGACCCCGAAACTGTTGAATTGATTAATCTCCTTAGATCATTTGATATTTATTGTGTTCATGAAACCCCAACCAGATTTAAAGCTTGCCTTGATGTTGTAGCCTCAAACATTACATCTGACCATGTTGAGGTTAGGTTACTTAACCAAGATATATTGTCGGACCATGCGGGTGTATGGACCACATTTACCCTGGATTCCTTTACTTTTGACGAAAGTAGAGATAGGCCCAGTCTAAAAAAAAGAGAAGTAGAAAAAAAGCGCATCTTATCTCATGAGAAAATTAATGACTATAAGCAAATGCTATTATCTGCAAACTGGATGGGTATCTACACTAATGATGTAAATATATCTGTTAATGTGTTTTTAAATATACTGTCTATGTACCTGAATTTAAGTTGTCCAAAAATGTCTGTAAATAGTAGTTTTAAGGGAAAAAAGGGTTCACTGGTAAAATGGTTTACGCCTGATCTAGAAAATATGCGTTTAGGGATGGACGAGATTGGATTTTTTAGTTCGAGACGAGACGAGACGAGATTTTTTATTTCTCATAAAATTTCGAGACGAGATCGAGACGGGATTTCCCTTCTCATACACAACGGGAAATGCACGTTCGGAATTTTTACCTGATTTTGTAACATTGTTAGATGACTGTTTAAATACAAAAATAATGATAATAGGCAAGAATATTTACAATCTTTTATTAAAAAACATCAGCATAACATTTTTATTAATCACGCCTAAATTATTAAAAATGCCTACGATTAGGAAACATAGTGATATCAGTTAGGATAGAGTTCAACTTTTCCTAAAATAAAATAAATCATAGAATAAAATATTAATTTTTATAAAATAGTTACTTGTTTTGACTTTTTTTATAGTAATAAAACATTCCTCACACTGCTAACACTTAACAAAACTTCTCAAATGTGATTAAAATAATTAAAGTAATATTTACATTTGAAGAATTAATTAAATAAGAACGCCTTCGCAAAGGAAACGCAACTACAACACGCTCCTGTATTGCGGGTATTGCATTGACTTTCTGCAGGCGTTTTTAATTTTTTTTTTTTTTTTTTTATTCTCGTCTCGATAAAAATCTCGGCCAAAAAGAAATCTCGTCTCGTGTAACAAGATTTAAAATTTCCCGAAAATTTCCCGAAATTTCGAGACTTGACCATCCCTAGCGTAAATTACTCCTTGCACTGTACGACAAATGGAAAAGCACATGTGACCCAGATGACAAATTACTGTTTAGCAAATTTAAGGCACAATATAGGCAAGAAATTATAAGTGCAAAAATAGAAGCAAATGGTAGGTTCATAAGTAAATCGACAAATCAATGTAAAGCTGCTTGGCTGGTTGCTAAAAAGGAAGGTAACTTGGGATCAACAAAGAAACAGATTATACCAATTTCACCTGAACAAATGAATAACTTTTTTGTTAATGCTTCCAATGTTCAAGGTAATGACCAATCTGTAACTAATACTGATTATAAAGAGTTTTTAAATAATAACATAAATCTAGATTGTAGTAGGCCTAGTATTAACTTTAAGGTCAATTTGGTTGATGTAAATACTGTTATGTGTGTTGTAAATAAAATGAGTAACTCTAAATCTGAAGATGTTTACGGAATGTCAAACTTTTTAATTAAGAATATAATTCATGTAATTGTAATACCACTAACTTTTATTGTTAACTTAGTTCTTAGCACAGGCATATTCCCTGAATGCTTAAAAGTGACAAAAGTTACACCCATCTTCAAAAAAGGTGATGTAAACAAACCTGAAAACTACAGGCCAATTGCAATCGTTCCTATTATAAGCAAGGTTATAGAACACTGTATTGTAAACCAGCTCAATGATTATTTTGTAAGTAATAGTTTGTTTTATCCTTTTCAGTTTGGCTTTAGGCCTAAACACTCGACAATAGATGCTGTTGAAAAAGTAGTCGAATATGTTTTAAATGGCTTTGAACAAAAACTCACTGTAGGGTCATTGCTAATTGATTTAAGTAAAGCTTTTGACTCTGTATCACACAAAATCTTATGTGACAAGCTAAAGTCTTATGGAGTAGCTGATAAGGAATTGAGGTTAATTCAAACATATCTCCAAAGCAGAAAACAGATGGTTAGCTTTAATAATAAGAATTCTGAATACCTAGATGTTACAGTAGGGGTACCACAAGGCTCTGTCCTTGGTCCTTTTTTGTTTTTAGTTTTTGTTAACGATTTTAGCTCTAATGTCTCTACTTTTTCTGTGTTGTACGCTGATGACACCACCCTGGTACAATCTGATATAGATTTGGTGGGTGTTCAGAACAAACTTGACATAGCCTTGATGGAGTCAAAATCATGGTTCTCTGCAAATATGTTGGCTGTGAATGAAGGTAAAACAGAGCGCTTAATTTTTACACTAAGGAACCATTGTTTATTTAGATGTAGTTAGATGTTGATTTAGATTTAGATAATGACTTGTTCAAGCCTGTAAAACTGCTGGGTATTACTCTGGACAGTAAACTCTGTTGGGACGAACATGTACACAACTTGTGCAAAAAACTTGCTCGAGTTACCTGTCTTTTAAGAAAACTTAAAACTTGTGTTAATTCTGATGTTCTTTTTATGGTTTATTTTGGTTTGTTTCATACCCATCTTATTTATGGTATAAGACTATGGGGCAATTCACCATCAGCAAAAAAAGTGTTTGTTTGGCAAAAAAAAGCAATTAGGGTCATCTGTGGCCTGAATGAAAATGATTCATGCAGAACAGTCTTTCCTGAACTTAGCATATTTACTCAACCTAGTCTGTTTATTTACTATAATCTTATATTTGTTAAAAACAACACCCATATCTTTCAAAAAACCTCTACTATTCATTCTCACAACACCAGACAAAAAGAGGACATTGTTAGACCTAGTATTAGACTTGATAAGTATTATAAGAGCCATAGTTACCATCAAATTTTAATTTATAATAAACTGCCAACTAATGTTAAAATGTTACCACCTAAGAAATTTATCAATGTTATTAGCAAGTGGCTTAAAGTTAAGGCATTTTATACCACTGAAGAGTACCTGAGCTGTGACCCTCATGACATTATCTATTGATTTTATATACTTTGACGACACCTATTGTATACTGCATATTTAATGGTGAATAAATTCTTGATTCTTGATATGTTTAAACACTTATGGTATCATCATCCCTAACGGCAAGGTATGGGGGTTTAGTGAGTGGGAGAAAATTTCACGCCGTTCCGGCCAAACCTCCCATGCGGGGTTGGTTCGGCAGATTGGCCACAACCTAAACCCCAACTCTCACTTGTTAGCTGCGGAGAGCTACCTTCTGCCACTGGGTGTTGGTCCACCTACAGAACCAAGTGAGGGGAGCCCTAGACTAAGGTGTAATGCGATCCGTGCCAAGAGTCTTGTGGCGCTGGGGGCCTAATATTCAGTGTCTTAACAGAGCCTTCTGGGAACCAGGGGTAAACCAGTCGTACGCACCCCTTACCTCTCTAATCGGGTCACTGGGGAGGTGGACTTAGATACCCGGTATTCGTGAGAACAATGTAGACAAACTGACCCAATTGGAGGAGGAAGGTCTACTGGAATCTGACGATGACGACAAGCTCGCAGAAACCGGAAAGGAACGAAAAACGACTTTCCAGGGGTGAGTTGCAAAGATGGAGGATAGCGGATGCTTTAGCCAAAGGCGAAATGGTGCTATCCAGAAGTGAGAGGAGGCTGATGTGGGCTGCCAAGCACCCTAACTCTGCTCCCTGCAAAGCCAGTTCCTCCCGGAACTAGGATGCTGGGAAAAAGCAGGGCAAGGGTGGTACCCCAAAGCTGACTCTAATGAAGCCTCCAAGAAGAAAGGTGGAGGCTGTGCTAACGCAGCCACAAAGGATTGGCTGGTCAAGCAAGTTCAGGAGCTGAGTCCTTTCAGGAAAATCTCGCTACGACTTGCCCCAGCCAGAGACCCTGTGAAAGCTGTGAAGGTATATTTATGTGCCCAGCCCTAGAAGGTCTGCGTATGAGATCCCTTGGCCTATTGATGGGAGATCAAAGGGAAGAACAGGTTACCATAGTCAAAAGGCTCTCACGGTTCACCAAGGACCTGGGATTTGACGGAGAATGAGGACCTGTGAACGAGGGTGCACAATAAGCTGTTCTAGCTGCAATGCAATCCCATGGTAACTTGTAAGCCTGGCCCTCTGTAAAAAAAATCATCCCTAACGTCAGAATCTATGTGACCTCCGTATTATCCAAGATTCTCTGTGTAGCCCTCGGTTAATCGGGAGTGTACTGTAGGAGTGGATGAAGAACATCACATAGTTAGACCACTCATCATAAAGATAAAAGATTGCATAAACATCGCATATCATCCAAAAATGGCTAAACTTGTTCAGTGTAGGCCTACAACATGGCATGTGAATCAGTCTTGAAACCTACTTACTGGTTAGTATGAATTTAGATTTGTCATCTTCAAATATGCAAGGAATGAGTTGCCTGCCTATGTAATAAACTTTATCCTAAAAATAAATAACGTTGGCGTCAAAAGACAACATAAGCCTTTAATAATAAAATATGTATATTTAAATAATGAAACCTGATTAGGTCAATAAAAATTTCTAAAATAAATTTTACTGAAACTAGACATTACAAAATGAAAACAGAAAAATGGTTTATGTACTAAAATAATTTGCTAACTTTAGCTCCATTGTTTACCATGATGTTAAGTCTTTGGGATTGTGTGTTTTCTGCTTGGGCAGATACCAAAAGATAAATTTATGGGAAAGTGTTTTATAGAATTCTAATTGTGTTAAAATATGGTACTTGAAATAAACTTGAAAAATGGAGTTAACAATGTAATTGTAAACATTACATTAGTCATTAGGAACAAAAACTTATGGATACAAAATTGGTAAAAATATTAATAAAGTAATATAAACCTATATTATCATAGATAGGGTGTACTAATCCATGTAAAAAAGAACACGAAAAACAATTTGTCACACATGTCAATTTTAAAACACAACTAAATCGATGACCGATTCCTTAATCATATAACAGTTTTGTACAAATGGTGTATATTGATAAGGGGGTGGATGAGCGTGTATAGTATGTGTATATAATTGACAGACAACCTTTTGTGCGTGGAAGCTCAACTCTCCCGTCCCTCCCCACTCTCACTTCCTGACAAAGTATCTCCTTCTCCGAGTCTATAAAAAACAAACAACCAAGTTACTAGCTTATTCCCTATATGGTAAATTCGCTAGAAATACTATAAGAAATCAGTGCCTAGGATAAGCATAAAATACACCACAAAAGTAAAGCTAAGTGAGGGTTAGAAAGTTAAATTTGTAACTAAACAAATTCTGTGAACCAATTCAGAATCAGTATTTGTTAGGAAAATTTAACTTAATGCAATTTTATATATAACTACTACAGAGGTACATTTAAGCTACATCATCATTGTCTTCCGTGATGGCAGCAAGATAATTAAAATCTCCCGCGGCCGTGTAGACATCATCTTCCACGACTGCGGCAACATCATGAACATAACTCACGGTCGTGTGGACGTCATCATAGTCTTCCGCGATCGCGGCAAAATCATGAACATCTCCCGCGGCCGTGTAGACATCATCATGAACCCCCGCGGTCACGGTAACTTCTTTGTCGTCATCCGCGTTTGTGGCAAAATCATGAATATCTCTTGCAGCCAGTTAGACGCCATCATCGTCTCTCGGGATCACGGTAACGTCATGGTCATCTTCCGCGATCGTGGCAAAATTAACACCCTCGATTATTGACTCCCACGGTCACAGAAACATCATCGTTGTCTTGGGTGATCGTGGCAATATCGACAATTTTCCGGCATTATCGGCAACGCATTCTTAGGTACCGGTACCGACATTTCACCATCGGTTCTCGGTTCCGGTTATTTTGCCAAGAACCGGCGAAACCGACATTTGACGTGAAGTACCAACACATCACTGGTAAAGATTAGTCTTATGTATTCATTTATTAAAACCCATTAAAATTTCAATGTTCTGGACAATTCGACAAGCTCTTGGTACACAAATTGTTGAGTTAGAGGGGTTTTACTGTACCTGGTTGGATTTCAATAAATTTTCCCTTAAATATGTCAGATTGATTTCCTATTAAATAAACATTAATTTAGATTAGGTAAGCTACTTAAATTTGTTGCTACAGGGGAGTTAAAAAAGTTTGTTTTCATTCAAATGTAAATAGCTTAGAGTGAAATAAACAAATTTGTTTAATTTGATCAAAATATAGGCCTATCCCTAAGAAGGAAATATCACAGTTTATTCATTATCCGTAGGAATAACATGGGGATTTTAACTTTACAATATTTTTTTTATTATCTCTGTAACCATTAGGCATAAAAAAACCCCTAAATATATAAAATTATTTCTTTTTTTAAGCTCTACAAAATGGTTTGGAAAGAAATTGTAAAATTTTGTGTTTCTAGCAACAAAAATGGGAAATACTAATTTTTATCCCATAAAACCCCCCATAAACCCCAGTTTCCATAGTCCTGGTTCATGCTGGTTCGGGAACTCGTTTGAATAAACGTAGATTGTACCAAATTTCATCAAAATTTGATCACTTTTCCTGTATGGGAAATTTTCTAAAAGGTGAAATTGCTAGGGAATTCGGGATTCCGCCAAGCCCTTTATCGAAGATTTTGAAAAACCCGTGGAAAGTATGAAGCTGAATATGGGTTAATCAATAAAAAAAGATGTAGGAACAGTGAGTTTAAAGACATGGACAAAAGTGTTTTAACATAGTTAACAGTGTTAAGATAAAAACATTACACCCTATCAGACCGACTTTGTACCAGAAGGCCATTCAGTGAGCCATTTTCATGCATAATAGATAGTTTTATTTTTATTCCACAGCTACTCTACAGTAGGTACTTAAAAATAGCCTGTGCCCAATTTTTTAAGGAAAGGTTGTAGTGTATCATCATTGTCAGAATGCAATACCTTGTTATCATAACTCAAACCTCACTTACTCAAAAGACTCGATACCGGCAACCCAAATTTTTATTTGACCCCTTTCGATTAAAGATATCAAGGTGCGCGAGAAAAATAAGGTTTTAATTCCCTGAGGAAGCAGGACGTTATTTTTGGTCCTGCGAAACGTCCAAGTAAATCCAAGGACGATTTTTTATGTGCTTGTATGTTGTGTGATTGTGTCTTCGTTGTGTTACATTTTGACGAGTCCTGGATTAACAATTTAAGGTGAGTGAAGCCCACAAGCTGATCAATAAAGATATCGAGGTCCTACTGTAGTTTAGTATGAAATTAATACATTTTTCAATTTGATTGAAATCTGAAATGCGTTCATAAACTAGCTAACTGCAACAGTTTACAGTGGTTTTAATTTTCTCCTTAACCATTAAGCGCATAACAAAGCTTCAATATACTAAATTATTTGTTTTTTTTAAGCTCTACACACAATGGTTTAGGAAGAAATTACACAATTTTATGTTTTTAGGGACAAAAATGAGAAAAACCAACTTTTGTCCCATAAAACCCTCATAAACCTCCTTTACCATAGTCTGATCATGTTGGTCTGCAAACTCGTTCAAATATATGTAGGTATATAAATACAAATGTATATGAATTTGAATGGATGGGTTTTTTTTTGCCTCTAGGGATCTAAAGACAAAGAAGTTAATCAGTCACAGGGTGTGGTAGGTGGGTTACCACAAGACCTACAGTAATATCAGAATCAGAATGCATTTATTGTCATTAGTCAACATTACATTGCTATAGACAACGTCAAAGAACATAAGAAATACAGTAATATGCTGAATAAAAAGAAATAGTACGATGTACATGTCAGACTAACAGATATAACATAATAAAACATAACAAAGAAATAAAATTCAGCAACAAATTAATATAGGGGAGAGCGGGGCTAAACCGTACAGCGAGGCTAAACCGTACACCCATTTTTTTGGCCTAGAATTCAAGCTAGGTGATCCCGACAAGTGCTGCTATCTAGCAGTAGAATTCCCAAAACTACAGTATCTGCATCGTTTTGCTATGTGTGTTAGTTTCAATGTTTCAGTAAAAAAAAACATGTTTCTACTCACTTGCTTCAAATTTTCGTCCAGTACTAAATAAAAAGTTAGTGAAGTAGCTTTTATCGTAGTCTTTTAACTGTGAGATCATAATAAACTACATCCCTTAAGCTCTCATTTGGTTATTAGTGATGATGGTTTAACCCTCCGAGTGTTATTTGTCGCTGCAGCGACTCACAAACACTGTTTACGGCGAAGGCTCTATGACTGACAAAATCGGATTGAACTGGATCGAGTTAGGTATTGTTTTATTTGACAGATTCAGAGCTTTCTCCGGAGGTCTGTCTCTAAGCGCTATTCATTTTAGTTCTGAAAATATTGTAGCAGACAGCTGACGTGCGTATTTGTAAACAGCTTGGTTAACCTCGGACCAATGACTGATGTGTTTTATTACGTTTATCTTTGTTTTAGTGTTAAAAATCAAAAGTAGTGATATACATGGTGCATTATAAGAAGATTTAAGTGATTTTGAAGGGCTGGTTGATGATCCTGAAGAAGTAGGTAGTGATATTGATGTAAATTATCAGCCAGATTCCTAGCTATGGTTAGGCTATGCATTCTTAGCTAAACACTATGTACTGAAATCTGTTTTTTGCCCATAACTTATTTATTTGCAAATCTACTTCCTTATATTATTATATATTTGTAATCCTCATAAAATGTAGAACAAAGTGGCTATTTTCAAATATTTATAGGCCTATAATTTATACAATTTCATTGAGTGCGAACTTATTTTTTTTTGACAATTTTCCAAAATATTTTTTGTTTTTACCTAAAAAATGTTTTTGAAACAAATGTTCTTTATGTTCTATGTATAATATTGAAGCCCATGATTTTCCAAACAAAATGGTATATACAACAGTATAATTAACATTGTTTTCAAGCTTCTCAGATCCGTTTTAATAAAACCTTGCAAATGAGCAAAAAATAGGCAGACATTAAGGCCAAAACAAGGGACACCCGGAGGGTTAAGTGATAGAATTTGAGTTTATGTTTATAAATTCCCGTGAGGTACAGATTGGGGCTAAACCGTACAGCTCTTGGTACAGGGTGCTACTCGTGTTCAGGGTGGGTCCATTCACCTTGCAGTGCTGCGGAGTCTGCAGAGAACTACATTTGTGGACTTTTTCTTCTTTCTTTTAATTTCGGGATGAAATTTTAAAACTTTTTCATAAACTTCATGTTTTTCATGAAGGTTGATTTTTTAAATGTAATTCCCTCTAAAATGTTTAAATTATTGTAATACACACTGTTTCTTAACTACATACAACCTTTATATAGTAATAAAAAGTGTTTGTACAATAATTTCTTGCAGTACTATTATATTACTAACATAAATAAATGATTTTTGAACTGTATGGTATAGCCCCTTCTACTGTACGGAATAGCCCCACCCCCCGGGGCTATTTCATACAAGGTAAGTTTTTTTTAATTACCAATTTTTAGATAAAAAATTCAATAATTCCAAAATGTTTATATACAATCAGTAGCCAAATGATTAAATTATATATTGCTTGTGTTTACATTACTTTTACTTCGTAATTTGCGATGTAACTACGAATCTCCCTTATGAGTACGATATAGCCCCGCTCTCCCCTAAACTATGAAAATTAACAAGAAATCAACTGCAACTACTCACAAAAGCTGAATCAAAGCTCATAACAGATTAAATTAAAATTTATAGGTATGCAAAAAATTCATCAAGAGAATAAAAAGCTTTAATTATAAACCAGCTTGACAGTTTTTATTTAAATTGTTGAATTTCGAGGTTTCTGGTCCCTTGTGGCAATTTATTAAAACACTTAATTTGTAGATATTTGTGGCTGACATCCTTAATTTGTAAATAATAGCTTATTCTTTATATAGGAAATTTGCTAATGATGCTTTAGTTACACATATCTATTACTTACCTTTTATGTTTTGTATTCTGTGGTGGGCTGGCTAGATCTTGGGGACAAGGTTGGCTGTTTTCATCTGGAAGAGACAAGTTGTTTGTGCTATTCATTTTTTCTGCCTCCCTTTTTGCTTGTACCACAGCCCAAATATCTTTTAACTCCCCTGTTAAATCTCGATCTTTAAGAACTGTGAACTTTCTTGAAAACTTGAAATCCACATTCATAGCTTCCACAAAATCAAGCATGAGATCTATCAAGTTGTCTCTATCCTGTAAAAAAACTGAAAGATTTAAAACAGGCTAAATAAAAATTTAAAAAGGCAATGTTTTGACATGTTTATTAAAAGTAGATTTTTGATATTACATAAACTTACTTTAAGATCACAGTGTATACAGTACATCTTTTATTTGTTAAGATGGTTTCTATCTTGATATGGATACACATTGTACAACCACAAAGGAGGTGAGTGATAATTAAGTAACTACTACATTGTCCTGTTAATTAGTGGCCTCTGTATAATACATTAAGGTACCACCTAAGACTTAGGCATTTATTTTTAAACGTGGCCCAGGAGGTAATAGTTTACTAATACTCAAATTCTGAGGACACTGCCCCATTGGCCCTTGCAGTTAGGTTACACCTCTTTGTTGAAGGGTTGTTTGGATTTGATTTATTATACAGTAGTGCTTACTTAATATTAACACTGCTTAGACAACTGCTTCTTTGTTAAAAAATACAGCTAGGCCTACAATTAATACAAACTAGAGGTCGCCCCATGGTCGAAAACTCAACCAAAAATATATGTTGTGCAAACTTCTCTATTTTCATCCAAAGCGGTAGATAAAACATGTAATTGGAATATCTTCCATTTGTTTTTAGCGAATATCCCATATAGGGAATAAGCTATTACCGTAGTACTCATGGTAAGACCTGGGCCCGGGACCGATTTAATTTTTCGTTTTGAGGTCCCTGGAGGCCAAAAACACCATCCGTTCAAATTCATATATATATATATACCTACTTTTATTCGAACGAGTTCGCGAACCAGCATAATCGGACCATGGGAACAGGGGTTTATAGGGGGTTTTATGGGGTAAAAATGGGGTTTTCCCATTTTTGACCCTTAAAACAAAAAATTTTGCAATTTATTTTTAAACTGTTTTGTAGAGCTTAAAAAAAGAAATAATTTAGTATATTGAAGCGCTGTTGTATGCCTAACGGTCACGGAGAAAATTCAAAAATAGTATAATTTAAAATTCCTATGTTATTCTTATGGAGAAAATGAAAACTGTTGTAGTTTACTTGTTTATGGATATATATTGATAAAATTTGGCAAATTTATTTCATCCTATACCATTGACATATGGTCAAATACACTTTTTACCTTCCTCGTAGCAGCAAACCTAAACACTCATTAAATCTAATGTTATTAAAATTGGGAATAAATATGTCTTATTTATGGAAATATTTTAGTAAAAATTTAATCAGACAAGTTGAAATTCGCTTAGCCTGCAGGTTTGCTGCGGTGGGGGTATTATTGTCTGTTTATAATTTGTTGTTATTTCGTCACCAGCATGGCAAGCCACAAGGTCCATGTTAATTTTTAAAAATTTTAAATAAATTTGTTGTGCTTATTTTTTAGCCTATTAAAGGCCCTTTTTTGCATAAAGCGATTATGCATATCTACAAGCAAATTTCTTTCTAAAAGTATGCGTAGATTTTCCCTGCGACGAAAACGAGAGAAAAAAGTTTTTTCAAGAAACATGCTTGCCTATTAATATCATAGCCTACTAGTGTACATGTTGCTAAAAACCGAGCAATTTCAAATTATTACTGGATTTATTTAAAATCAAATAACAATCATATTATGTAACTAATGGAAATACTCATCATGTACAATAACAGTTCGATATAATCAACATTTCTTGTAATTGTTTTAATAATTTTTTAAAAGCTGATATTGTATTTTAGTGTTTTCTACACATGTTAATGCTAATGTAGCCTGCCTGCATGGTACCGTCCATTGTCGCCAGTACGAGTACGTTACAAAATTCAGTAATTTTCTATAGCGATAACATTTTGTTCACGTTACTTAAAAACTACCTGATTTCCTGTATAACCTGTCTGTCACAATCTTATTTGCTTCAACTGCCATTCTTTTGGTTAGTTACTGCAATAACGTCAATTATATTTATAGTTAAAAGGCCTGATGTTCAGATGGGTTTTTGTTTTCCTTATAAATAATTTCTTTTTATTCTTTCTGATGATGTTGAAGAAATTCTTTTATTTATAATGATCTTTTGACGTTTATTTCACAATGTACTATAGATGTAACATGACGTTTTCCAATGACTTATATAAATTGAGTTCTAAAGAAAAATAAAATTATCTTATGTCTTAACTCTTAACTGTAAATATTAGTTGAATCCTTCAATGGAAGGATTAGTAAAAGTTTCTTGGATGTAGTCATATTCTTCTAAAATCGCTTGCCTTTTATAGAAACAAATATTTAATGTCCTGCCGTATCAGTTTCTTTTAGCCTTAGATGCTTTTCCCTTGCAATGACCACAAAGTTAAGTCCATGTTTATTACTAAAAATGGTAGCACTTTTACTAACATCATTGTACACTGTTTGTAAGAATCATATTAGGTCTTCTTCATTATATAGGCTAATAACAATACTAAATTCTTAAAAAATATTATCACTATTTTTAAACTTGGTGCTGTTCTATGACTTTCTTATGTTTAGTTTACAAATAATTGGTACTTACAATGACTGCTCTAGAAATACAGTACTAGTCAATTCATCTATCTTATTTGGTGAAATATATCCAACTAGGTGAAACCCGTCGAAATCGACGGTTAGGGGACTCCTCGTTTATATGGTCGTGGGCTTCATTGGCAACAAAATGCAAATGAAATAGCAATGTGGCATTTCCAAAGAGAAAACATACTGTAAATTGGCTGTTACAAATATTGACATTTACATGCATTGTTAAACAACGTATCTTATAAAGGATAATGTGATCTAGTTTAAAAGGAATATGACCTTTCTGTCATGACAGTAGCTGCTTAAATAGTATTTACTCTTACAGCCAAAATATCATGTTACTTTCAATAATGTTACCAACCCAGTGGGCCACGGTCCGTAACATAGGCCACTGCAAATAATTTGTCAAGATAGGTACCATTTTAGGCAAGGGTTTTGTGTTTGGATGTTATTAGACACGATAAGAGCACACTGAACTTCTTCTGCAGATGAATAACTGTTGGAGATAATCAGCCAAATCATAAATGTTACAATGCGAGTTTGAGCATTTTGTAACTATTTGAGGAAGTTACATAGTATTTTTAGGCTGCTGCTCAGTAAATATATTCAAGAATATATTTTTTAGAGATAAATTATTATTTTTTGTTGCTGAGTAGCACTAGTAAACATGCACAACCCTTTTTTTGTTAGTCTAATAACATTCAAAGGCTCTCTAAGAGTTCAAGAAAATAACATTGCAAATACAGTACTTCTTTTGGACAGTTCAGTAACTCCCAATAAATGTGTGTTGTTTAAAATACAATTTAAAAATTAACAGCTGTTTCATTAAAAAGTATTATCCACATGGCCAAAATGTAAACAAATCTGTGGATGGATCTTTTAAAGGCTTCTAAAGAGCCCTAAGGGAATTTACTTCGTTTTTTTTTTAACTCATCTACAGACCAAGACCGTTCTTTGGACACCCCTACCAAGTTTCTACGCCCAGTTGTTTTCTTAAATTAGTGGAGACAAAGTTTCAAATTAAATATTTAGATTCCCCCATGTTAATCTTATGGGAGAAAACCCAACTTTGATGGAAGATCCAGCCCAAAAAAAAAAAATAAAAACACTTTGCAAAACTACAGATCAGGGCCATTCTTTTGACACTTTTATCATCAGAATCGGTCCAAAAATGAGGGAGTTCTGTTCACAAAAATCGGCTTAGCGTATTATATATATAGATTGTCCAAGCTTTCTCGATTTTTAAAATTATAATATGTACGCAACCCCAAATTCAACTAGTAAATATTTAATTTCCACCAAATAAGTGTTTATACATTCTAATCATTGAATTGCAAGAAATAAATATTAACAGCAATTAAATTATCCAGCAGATCATAATTTAAACAAATTTGTTCTTCATAAGGATAACATGGTAACCTTAAAAGTCACTCAGAGCCCAAGGGACTTTTTCAAAAATTTAAGACGAAGTACAGATACCAGCAACACCGAAACCTCTTTTTTAGGACCCTCAACCAAACCACCGGCAACAACATAACAAAATACCCCCGTCGCAGCAAACCTTCCAACTAAGCGAATTTCCATTTGTCTAAATTGATTTTCAATAAAACATATATTTAAATAACATTATGTTTAACGAGTACCTAGGTCTGCTGATACAAGGAAACAAATAAAGTGTTTTTTAAGTAAAATATTAATAGCTTAGTATAAAATAAATAAATTTGCAAAGTTTGATAAAAAATAAAAATATATCCATAAACAAGCAAACTACAATATTTTACAATATTCTCCATAAGAATAACATGAGAATTTTAAATTTTAAATTTTTTTAATTTTTTCTGTTACCAATAACGGTACAAAAATACTTTTACATATTAAATTATTTGTTTTTTTAAGCTCTTTAGAATAGTCTAAAAAGATAAATTGGGAAATTTTGTGTTTTGAGGGTCAAAAGTAAGAAAACCCAATTTTTACCCCATAAAACCCCCCGTAAAGCCCCATTCCCATGGTTCGATCATGCTGGTTCGCGAACTCATTCAAGTTTATGCCGCTTTACACCTTTAAACCAAATTTCATCAAAATCTTACAAAAATTACTCAAGTTATCGCGTTCACATAAATATATATCTATAAGTATAAAAGAGGATGTTTGTATATGTATTTGTTTGGCAGTAATAAACTCAGACACCGCTGAACCGATTGCCACGAAACTTGGTATATACGTCAATTTCGTGATCCGTCCAATCGGCTCCGCCCCAGTGGCTCTGGAGTTTCCCATGTTAACCTTATGAGAAATGGAATTAATGAATCTTAACAGCTGTTTCAATTAAACAAGTTGGTTCTGTTCTATAATGTTCAATAGCATTAAAGTTACAAGGATTACCAGCAGGGTGCAGCACTATTATTTCTTTTACATTTATGACAACAGCTAATTTGCAACCAAAAGGTGAGTTAGCGTAGCGAACGAGCTAACCTGAAGGCAAGTGAGCGTAGCGAACGA